ATTTTCCGTTGGCTGTGCACATAATGTTGGGGCATTAAAAACAAAACCGCTTATAATTAACCAAAAACTCAATTAAGTGCAGTCACTAAAGCAACAAAGGAACTGCACCAGCTTGGTGTAAAATTAAAGAACAATTTTGAATGTAACCAAGTATAAACAAATAATATCTTGCAACTTATCAACTAATGAACAAAATAATAGAGGGTATCTATAGGATAGAACTTGTAAATTATACATTAATTAGCTTCCTAGTTGGTTATTTTTCTGAGTTACCTATTTCAATTGCACTTGAAAGTTATCAAAAGTTTCCAACCTAATGACCACATCATACTCGATCAACTTTGCCCTCATTATAAGCGCATTAGCCAAGTGAGCGGCAACTGTCGCTTATTCCACTTGGCCTATCAGTCATCGGGCTAATCATATATGTGTAGCTGCCATTATTATTCATTTTCGTCCTGCCTATGCCACCTGTCGAGGATCCAGCCGGTGGCAAAACTCGGAACTCGAGTTCCGCCTCATCAGGAGGAGCAACCTAAGTGAGGCCATAAATCCTTTTGAAGCCGCTCATCGGGGAACGTGACTCTCATGTGGAGATACAATGAGTGTCCATATGGAATGGGTCTGAAGTCGCTAGCTTGATAAATTAACGCATTAAAGCTATAGCTGGGCCTCCAGCAAGAGGCGGCTTTTAATAACACAAATTGCAATCGAATCCGAAAAAGTCAAGAGACTCAAGAACGTAAACGGCATGCGAAATGAGAGCCCAAATATGTTAACTTCATTTTCAGGGCTTGGCTCATTCAATCGGGGCAACTTAAAGCATGCAATCAAATCATTCCAATTAAACATAAACAATTTCTTCTTTAATCTAACTATAGCGTTATATGCAGAAATGTTCATATCAAAGGTAAACTGTAAGGGAAACTTGTACCAGCAGCAATCCGGCCATTTCCCATTTCATTTTTGCACATTTTTAAATAAAATAATAATAATATAAATCCTATTTTTCTAAATGCAAGGACCAAACTTAAAAGGATAACTACAACTGCATTTGCCGAAACAAAGTGTCCTTGTGTGCAATGGAATCGAAATCAAAGCACATTCATCCTGCAAAATGGACAAACAATGAAATAGTTGGGCAAACGTAAATACCAACTGGAAGCATCCGAAATATGTCAATAGCCCAGCCAAGCAAAGTTTAACTATCTTTTTTTGGAGAGAGATGAGGTAGTCGTACTTCAACTGCCGCTCGCCAATTGCTGCCAAGTTTTCCACTTGATGGAGATCGGAAAAAGGGGGAAATCCACAGGACACGCAGATAGGGAAAGGAGGCAAAGGAGCCCGCAGGAGGTGACCGACATGTGCCTGGTTTAGTGGAAAACTGATTGACGCCGTGTCCTTTGATTTCCCTCGTGTTTCAGGACTCACGCACTGGAGGATAACGGCCGAAGGATGCGGGAAGCAGGGATCCTTTTAGCAAGGAACCTCGATGTGGGCATCACTCGATGACCCGAAAGTGGGTCAATGGGAGTGGATTCCACAAGAGATACAAGCCCAAACACATTTTAAAATGTATTTAATTTGATTATAAACGAATGTTAAATATTATTTCAATGGCAAAACACACAGCTAGAATTAAACAAGCGTTGAGCTAAAATCCTTAAGCGCCTTAAAATGCGAACAATATCTGGAATCAAATATTTAATGCGAATCCGTGTTGCAGTTTACAGAAATAAACCAACAAATGGAATTGAAATTAGAATAAATTGCAGCAGCCAACAGATGCGAAACACCAGTCGATATGTTTGCTCAATCGAAGGCCCAAGGATAATCTGATTTCGAGCTAAGCCAATAAGCTGATGAAGTTTTCAAAATACAAATTCGATACCTAGGATAAAAGTCAACGCACAACTTGTTGCAGCAAACAACTTTTTCCATGGCTCAATTGCAATGGATGCGATGCAAATGCAATAAATTAGGCATCAATTTGCAGAGTCTGCAGCAAAGCGCCATAATATACATATAATTAAAAAGAATTCCCCCTGGCATGTTGTATTTGCCTAAAACCGGAATGATTTCAATTTGTGAAATGACAATGCCCAGAGGGACTTTCGGCGGAAAAGCGAAAGGAAAAGCAGAGTCATCGCCAGGATATTAACACTATCACTTTCCCACTCTCACTGCACTTTCCCACTCCCTCCATGGATTATCTTAAGTTCCGTCTAATTGCATTTGCATATTTTGATAATATTCGAAAGGGGAAATGAAAGTGGCAAATGCATTCTCCAACCGAATTACTCAGTTTAATGCGGATGAAATCGTGCGAATTCAATGGAAACGGAGGTGAAGTGAGAATTCCTAAGCTGCAAAACGGAAATTTAATTGCATCGGGCGAAGAAATCCCGATTAATTACGGTGATTAACTGTAATAATCTATTAGTTTTTGCTTAATTTGTGACATGTGCAAACAATTAGCGATTAAATCGTATGGCCAAAAGGAAGCAATAATAACTTTGACTAATTAGCTGTGTGGCTTAATTCGTGGCGAATAAATGGCGAGCATTATATGGGAAACAATTAATACGTGTTTTTATTTAATCGCTTAGTTTTGTAGTGACACATATTAAGAAGCACGAAAAAAGCGCTGAAAAGTAATTACTCAGAACATGTTTTTATAAATTTGTATTATATCTTCTTATTTTACTAATGGGTAATGTTCCGAGCTTACGATTACGATCACAATGCTTTTAGTAAACCTTCTTTGTATAAACGTTTTAAGCCCATTTTTATATAAATAGATTTAAATTTAATAATAGCCACATTTTAAAAATTAACTGAGATACAAAATATTCTACAAAGGATTACATGTACTGGCAAGTAAAATTACACATATACCTATTTTTACACGTTACTTACACTGTTAGCTAGCGAGGGCCATGCTAAAGCTATTTGAAAATGAAAACCAGCCAAGCAAATAGCTAAAATATTATAGCCCTCCATATCACATTTTTTATGTATATTTAATATTTATACATACTAATAATAGACTAATAAAGACTTTAAACTTATATGAAATTATTTTAATAAAGAAATAAGCTGTTTCTACATAACAGAATCACTGACTTAAATAACCTAACGCCTCACGCTCTCTGTTAACTGTTCGCTGTTTGTCAGCACTGAAATGTTAAACAAATAAATTTTGCCAAGCACCGAAAACAGCAACTGTTTGTAAAACCTCAAAAATATTTATTTAATACATAAACACCTACTGGAAGATGGCAGCAAAAGTAGCGAGCGGCACGAACAAAGTGTTCCAGAACGTGAGTCTTGGTGAATCATCAATGGACAGCTGATGGCACTAAAAAGTAACCTCACTTTGCGATGGTTTCACTGTTCAGCTGCTCAGTTGAAATTGATGACATATTCTCAGGCAATCAATAATCGCATTGATTTCCCATTATTCCAGCATGATGATGTGCACATCTCCTTCGAGGACCAGCAGCGAATCAACCGCTTCGCGAAGCACAATGCCCGCATGGATGACTTCAAGGCGGAGCTGGAGATGAAGCGCAATGAGCTGAAGAGCGTGGAGGAGGCGCTGGAGGAGATTGAGCTCTTCGACGAGGACGAGGACATACCGTTCCTGGTGGGCGAGGTGTTCCTCTCGCACAAGCTGGAGAAGACACAGGAAATGCTGAAGGACACCAAGGAGCAGGTGCTCAAAGAGATAGCCGGCGTGGAGGCCAAGGCGAAGGTTACCAAGGCGGAAATGGACGAGCTGAAGGCCCATCTGTACCAGCGGTTCGGCAGCAATATCTCACTGGAGAGCGATGATTAAAACATTGTGCATTTAACATTTTACAAAATAGAGTACATCTAATTTAAACTCAACTAAACACGCTGTCTTCAGATTAGAGCACTAGGAAATAGATGATCAGGGCGATGATGATCAAGGTGACTACCACTCCACCGATGAATATGCGGCGATCTTCGACCAGCCGGCGTTCTATAAGTTTCATGGTGTGATTGGACAGGCCCAGTGTGCTGCCTATTGCCTGGATTCTCTTGTGCGCTCCACCAAGCGTCATTCTCTGGGAGATTAGGCTCTCCAGTATGCCGCTGCCCGAGGCAATCATATCGTCCACACCCCGATGGGCGTTCCCCAGCTGCGTATGATGTTGCAGTTCGTAGTCCAATTGCAGGCGGGTTTCCTCCGGCTGAGAGCTGTTTGCCGTGAATCTGTGGTTCAGTAGCTGCTCCCTTTCCGAGATCTCCTGCATCCGCCGCTGTCTTCGCTCCCTCGCCGTTTGCAGTGATGTCTGCAGGTGTCTCAGGTCGTATTTCAGCTGATCTACGCGGAGTTTGGAGCTTTGCCTCTGTGAAGGGGGCACCTTAAACAGTAGTACGTCCAATCGATCGCAGTTTCTAAATACATAAGATAAACCGTTAATAATACAAGGTTTTGGGATGTATTTCATCAGTAAACCTACGCATTCGCCTGGGTAATCTTCAATTGAATCCCGTTTTCCACGTCAAGGGATTCCTGGGCACTAAGCTGACTCAGCCGCTGGAAGTCCCGCTCGATGTCCTTTACCGCATTGTTGGTTTGGTGGTACAGGCTTTCCATGCTGGTTCCTCTATTGCTGGTGCATTAATTTCTCGGGCGGAGAGTACTCGCCAATTAATATTTAATCGGTTGCAATTGGTTTGTTTAAAAAGCTGACGCGTTAACATTGGACACTGTGTCATGTTAGTTAACAGCGCTGATAGCAGAGCAGCTGGCTGCCCTTTTTGGTGTGACCATATCTTATCAAAAACTTGTGAGCTAATGATTTAAAAACAACTATTTAATTAATTTATTACTTTGAGAAAATATGCCTTGCATTTTAGATCAATTAGTTTTGAATTTTTATTAACTAATGCAATTAACAGTGCTGTTATAGAGGGCGTTTCAGTAGCCACTGTTAAGTGCACATAAATCAGAGTTGGTAAGTACGCAAACCCAAAACTAAAACTGCACCGGTCACATCACACACGAAACGCGTTAGCACACTTATTCGGTATTTTAGCATTTAGCGTTAACCACAATGGCGAATACATCAAGTACCGGCGTTGGTAAGAAATAAAATTGATAAATTAGCAATTTGGCAGCTTAAAAATGCGATCCCCGCCTGCCCGGAAGTGTTAGCCATCCGATTGCCGCATTTCCCGCTGCCCGGCGGCAATTTTTCCGCCACAACGAGCCTGGAAAGCGGACCGCAATGTGTGTGTGTGTGCAAAACGGGCAAAAAGAAGACGAAAGCAAGGGCGAAAGACGAAAGCCGATAAAAGCGAAACGGGCGAATGGAAATGTATTTTCGCCAGCGGACCACGCTGCTTCTGCAGTTTTCTTTGGCCGCGTATGGCGTTGGAAAAACTCCGTTGCAATTTGGCTTCGTGACTTGACATTTTCCGAAATATCACCCCCGCTCCACCCCTCACTAACTGGCTCTCTCGCTCGCGCACGCTCTTCTTCTTGCCATCATACTTTTTAAGTTTTTTCTTTATTTTTTTGCACACTTGCGTTTTGCGTGCGTTCTTGCAAAGCTGCCTTCCTTTTCTAATTAAATTAGCTGCCATTTACATTTGCTTGGATTGTTTTTGCAAATGCAGAAATTATGCTTTCGCCCCGCCCCCGCCGACACACCCTCCCCTCCGCGCCCATCGTTCCTAATATCTGCTCTTCGCACTTTTTTTTTTGCTTGTGTTCTCTGCACGAAAATGCGTACAAAGTCACACGGCCGAAAACAAAAACAACACGAGAAGCAGAGCGCAAACCAACAACAACACGTACCCATATGACCCCACACTGAGAGAAAAGGTGCCCGAAATAGCACCGCGAATGCTGTTTTCCTAAAGGCTTCCAAGCTAACTTAAAGCCAATAAGAAAATTAATGGAATAGTTTCCAAAATGGATGAATATTATGATTCAACTGGTCATTTGGATACTACAAAATTACCCTACAAATTTTTGTTCCTATGCATCCAATCTTATTTTATATAAAAGTGCATCTTTAATTTTTTTTTTTTGTCTAATCATATATTTTTGTAATTATATATTACCTTATCTGAAGGAGTCCATTATTAAATAATTACGAATTTTTGGAAAGTATAGAACTTTCCGGCCCCGCAAACGAAAAAATTGAAAACAAGCTGCCAGTTAACTTGATTAATTTAAAGTTTTAAGTTTTTCAGTGAAAATGCATTATGTCATCGAGTTCTCACCTCCTTGCCGTTTCACATTGCAGTGGTGCCACGAAATTTCCGCTTACTGGAGGAGCTGGATCAGGGCCAGAAGGGCGTGGGCGATGGCACCATATCGTGGGGATTGGAGAACGACGACGACATGACGCTCACCTACTGGATCGGCATGATCATCGGTCCGCCTAGAGTAAGTTTCCATTTCAATTGGACTTTCCTCGCTACGTCACCAGATAAGCCCAATTTATCTGGTTGTTCTGTAGGATTATTGACGTTTTATCGCTTAAATCATGAATAGGAGATTCAGCTTAGAGGGCACATTCTTTGAAAGCTTTTATCTCTTCGGTGCAAAAGAATTTGATAATATTTGCATTTCATTAGCACTGCTGATGCAACTCATTGTGAGTGGGCTTCAGAAGTCATTGGCTTTACTAAATATCTGGCTTCCAATGATGTAATAGAAAGGTCAATGTTTAGTTTACTTGGTTAATGTGATGCAGATCCTGCAGTCTGCTAGGATTTAATCTTGAATGGAAACTACCAGCTACGATCTAGAATTATAGCTAGAAAATATAGGTGTAGGAAAGTAAACGAGAACGTGCTAATTTATTCTTATTTTATTCACAAGGCAATATTCCAATTACCATGAATTTCTTGAAAACAGCTTTAGCCTTGAATTACCAACCAGGAAAGCGACGGAAAACTAAATTTGCATTTAATTTTTGTATAGTCTAGAAGTGTTGCGCGCGCCGCCGCATGAATCATTGAGGAGTTTGGGTGGCAGGGTCTTCGAACAGAGCCCCAACTTGGCTTAGTTGCAGTGGCAACCAAAGGGGAATGGGCGCCTGACTCATCGACACTCTGGCCGTAAATGCACAGAGTATTTAGCGTATAATCAGTCAAGACTCATTTAATGTTGATGGTAAATTCTTGTGCTTACAGACACCATTCGAGAATCGAATGTATTCGCTAAAGATCGAGTGCGGCGAACGCTATCCGGATGAGCCACCAACGCTCAGGTTTATAACTAAAGTAAACATAAACTGCATTAATCAGAACAATGGCGTGGTAAGTGCATACAATCGGATGGGGGATAAACAACGAATGCTAATGATTTATTCGAAATCCCAACAGGTTGATCATAGATCAGTTCAGATGTTGGCCAGGTGGAGTCGCGAGTACAATATAAAAACGATGCTGCAGGAAATCCGTAGGATTATGACCATGAAAGAGAACCTGAAGCTGGCACAGCCGCCAGAAGGAAGCTGTTTTTAGTCGACAACATCCGTTAGCAACACCAGCAGCAGCTGCATCAGCATCGTTTGCAACTTGAGCGGGAGCAGCATCCACACCCAATAAAAGCAGGAAAACCCCATCAGTCCAAAAGTCCAAGACCAAGGTCGCCACGTTCGTGGAATGAAGAGATTGTGTGGCGGCTGCTCCTCCGAGTTGCTTTCGGCAACGTGCGGCAGCGAATGATTATTAATGAACGTAATAAAGATCGAGTGCGGTTATTGTGGCAAGAACAACAACCAAATGCAAGCTATACTATAAGTAAAGGGAACAGCAGCGAAAAATGCGATAGGAGCGTCACTATGAAAAGATCGTCGTCGTCCCTTCCGTCATGAACTATGTCATCGTGTTTGGTTACTTTACTTCTACTTCAGTCCCAACAAAACAGAAACAAACAAAAAAAGAAAATAAGAAAACTTCTTGAATAAGAAATAAAACAGCAGCGAGCGAAACAAGTAAATGCCTGAGAGATTCCAAAACTCAGATTATGATTTCAACCCTTCAAACAACAAATTCGTAAACTAATCGAACAGAAAAATAATGCATAACAATGATAAAGATAAATTAAGATCACAGCGTGAGAGCCAAGCGTAATTATTGTTTTTTGCGTAAACTAAAACTTTATTAATTATATACATAAAGCAAAATATATATTAATTTAAATAAAACCATGTCGAACAGAACTTTTGTAGGCGGCGACAGTACGAACGTTTATTTTTTTAAAGAAGCGATTTTTAGTTGATTTCATATTCTTTCAATATCTTCCTCCCGAATCGCTTGGGACGAGGGGCGCGATTTATAATCATTGAATTGTGGAAATTATAGATATATATATAGAAACACACACACACACTAAGCCGATGAGGAAATCGAGCGGACAGAACGATGAACGATGATTAAAATAATACTTTAATTTAAGCTTCTAAATAAAACAATTAATCCAATAAAACGTGTAAGAGTGCAGCGTATCATTCATCACTTATGGGGAGCACAGAGTAAAAGTTCCGCATAACTGGGATTCGTTGTGGGATTCCTTTAAAAATATTTACACTTCTTAGCGAGGGTAAACACAATCAAGGAACCTACAAAATTAAAAACTGAAACACTTCATGGGGCAAAAATATAAATGTTTATACTGTTTTGAAATTCCAAACTTTCTGCTGCTTTTCCCGACTATTTCCGATGAACTGTTGCCCGCCGCAGCCAAGAAATGATTTTCCAATCATTTCCGTTTATTTGTCAATTGTTTATTGTTTTAAATACATAATTGATTTATCGAATCTATACACAATCAATGCTACATAATCCATCAATCATTGCGCTAGTAGCCTTAATACCCCTCTCATTGAATCTGCCGGTCTGATCTTCGTGTGGTACTGGGATACGGATACCAAGGATATTGTAGATTTAGCTAGTTTTATTGGATCGTTTTGTTGGCTCTCGCAAATTGGATAGTTTTTGTGTTTATATTTCAGCGGAGAGAGAACATTGACTTGGTGGTGGTTGCGGATGCTCACTTGTGTGTGTTTGATTTTGCTTAAAATTGATTTATCTTTATTAGTCGGTAAAGCCGCGATAACACTGCATTTCTTCACACCATCAAAATCAAATTCAAACATTCTACTTCTCCTTGGGCACGAACACGATCTTCCGCGACTTGAGCGATGACCACTTGTGTCGCTTAATGTAATACGAGATGACGGTCAGGAAGCCGAGGATGCCGATCACCTTGATCAGCAGCTGCTTGCGGTCATCGTGCTCCGGCTCGGAGGTCCACTTCAGGAAAGTGGCCACATCCTTGGCCAGCTGGCTCTGCGTCGGTGGTGTGCCGTCCTCGTACTCAATGACCTGAAAGGGGCGTAGTCATTAAATATTGCCCTCTAATCTTAATGTCTAATCTTGTTCTATTATATCGATTGTAAATCATTAGTCCGGAGCTTCTTAACTCGAATTATTTACAGATAAAAGCACCTTCTTGAGTAAGGAATTTAAATCGATATTTTCAAACAGAATACATTGGTTTAGCCACCCACCTCGTTGTACAACACCTGGGCCATGGAAATGGCGCCACCCGGGAAGTACGGGTTGAAGTACTGGCCCTCGCGCAGGACCACTCCAGCAGGAGCATCATGGTAGCCCGTGAGCAGCGAGAAGATGTAATCCTCTCCGCCCTTGCGGGCCGACACGATGTAGCTCAGATCCGGAGGATAAGCACCATTGTTGGCAGCACGGGCCGCCTCCTCGTTGGGATAGGGCGACGGGAAGTAGTCCGACAGCTTGCCTGGGCGAGTGTAGTAGTTGCCGGTGTCATCGGGACCGTCCTTGACCTGTTACGGGCACATGCAAGTCAACGCAATTAGTAACCATGTAGATCTAGTTGTCCTTTCAGAACCCTACCGTGATCTGCTCGGCTTCAGCCTTGGCCTCGGCTTCGGTGTGGGTGACACCAACCAGGTTGCGGTAGGCAATGTATTGCATCGAGTGGCAAGCGGAGCACACCTGCTTGTACACCTCGTAGCCGCGACGAACGCTAAAAGTAAGAATTGAAATGATGTTAGTGCCTGGATAGCAGAGCCAGGGGTTTTAGCACCATCTTGTACTTCAATATTTTCATTAAAGCAGATACTTTTCACAAATTTGTTCCTAAAAACCTAGTAACCACTATTATCTTCATGCAACAATTCCTAATTGTTCTATGCTCTGCTGATTGTTTTTCTGATCAATCTTTATAATCAAAGTGTAGTATATGTATATATTGTTGTTAATCTATGTTCGTTATCAGATATTTATTGATAGAATTGACTGTGTTTTCTAAAACGAATGTGATACTTTTGAGATACATTAAAATACTTGATATATAATCTTTGTCACAGCTCACTATTAACTTTTTTAATAAAATCTGGCTACACACTGAACATTTTGCAGAAATCTATTCCAATTCATTTGAGATACATTTCGTAAGCTGCTCGATAGGTGGAAGTGACCACATCATGACCACTGCTTAGCTTAGCCGGGAAAATACCCGCACCATCGCTTACCTCTGGTGGTCCAAAGCGTCGAAGAGGCCCTTGTGGGACCAGGGTTGCGCGGGGGAGTGCACCTCGCTGCCGGAGGCCTGCACGGACTGCTCCAGGGCGTAGATGAGGGCACCCACTCCGCCGGTGATCGCTCCCAAGGCTCCGATCAGCTGTTCGCCGTGCACACACACGCACGCACACACGCACACAGTCACCGAGAAGCAAACGCGTTTTGAGGTTAGGTCCGGTCGGGTATTATGAAATGCGAAGTGAGGGAATATGTGGGATTCCTGACTCGCAGACTTACCTTCTTGTTGCCACTGGCCCAGCTTCCGGCGGAGGAGAGGTTCTTCGCCTGCAAGGAGAGGAGATGCCATTTAGTTCTAACGCTCGCCCAAGGAGAGTACGAATTTTTGCACGGAGTTACATAATTGGGTTGCTCGGTTCGTATCTGAGTTCGTTTAATCCCATTGCAACCACGGATACCACTCACTATGCCACCCAGTGCGCACCATTGGTCCTTGGATTTTATGCCCGGGAGTGGTATTATTTCATGTTCATCTCCATCTGACACGACTCCTTCAAGGTGCTGCGGTGGCTGTGGAAAACTTGCATCCGCCGTTTCCCGATCTTTACCTGCTGCAGGCTGAGTGCTGGCGCCGATTTCAGCAATCTCATGCCATGGAATCTTCGCAATGTCGCTGCCATGGTGGCCGGAGTTTTAATTTCTGCGTCGTCTGGTCGGTAAAGGAAACTCTGCGGGCAGCCAATCGCCAATCGAATCAATCTTTCAGTTCCACTGCCACAACGTCTTCCTCTTCTTCGCTGCTCTCTCGCGGAGGTGGTGGGCAACTCGCTCGTTTGCGAGCGAATCGGCGGGGGCGATAGTTAGTTAGTTGGTATTTTTCATCAGATATTTTAATTCAATATTTTTAATTTTTATTTTCTGTATAATATTATTCTTCTTTTCTAGGCAGTAATTAAAAATTTCTTAACATTCATCACTTTTTTTAAATATATACCAAAAAGTATACTTTAATTGCTTAGTGATTTCCATCTTTGTCCAATTATTTCTAAAGAATTCATTTTATTCACGATATATTCGAAATTACCGTTTTCCCACTTGTTGATTCAAAATACATTATAATCCAATTGGATCTTTTTGTTGACATCAAGTTGGAAGTTTCGATATTTTGGAAACCACTTGATATCAATACGAATCAACAAAGCAGCTGTGCAAACTGTAATAAGCATTAGCAGAATTTTGGGGTCTGTTATGTAATTTTGCTTATCACAACGGACTATTAAACACATAATATTCTATAAAATTCAATGATGATGTTTATGTTCTTAGACACAAAGTTGGAAAATTCTTGAATAAGCGCTTAAAGACATAAGAAATATATAACAGTAACAGTGCACAAAATATCCTTCGATTGCTTAACCTATCAAAGACTTGATATATTTTATTTATTATTTTATATATAATCATAATATAATATATTTATATATCTACGGTCTAACCGATGAGTTTTCCGTTGGTCTGGCATCCCCGTGGCCAGTTTTTCGCACACCCCCACTTATCGATAACAGCTGACTACCAGTTAATCATTCGCCAAACAAAAAAAACCTAGCAACGCATAAACAAATGCGAGAAAAAAACCCCATTATTGATTTCCACTAAGTGCGGTCAGCGCAAAAAGTGGTTAATAGCTCTCGCCAGGCAAGGAATAAAGTCACCAATCCCAGGACGCAGAACGCCATGCCGCAGGAGGAGGGAAATTCGGGAACAACGGCCCAACTCGATGACGAAATCGAGAATGTGCGTGTGGTGGTGCGAACGCGACCCATGGATAAAAATGAATTGTCCGCGGGAGCGCTAAGTGCGATTTCGGTGGATAAGATAAACCGAGCCATTACGGTGATGAAACCGAATGCCACCGCCAATGAACCGCCGAAGACGTACTACTTCGACAATGTGTTTGATGGGGGCTCGAATCAAATGGATCTCTATGTGGACACCGCCCGTCCGATTGTGGACAAGGTGCTGGAGGGCTATAATGGCACCATCCTGGCCTACGGACAAACGGGCACCGGGAAGACGTATACCATGTCTGGGAATCCGGATTCGCCGCAAACAAAGGGCATCATTCCGAATGCATTCGCGCACATCTTTGGGCACATTGCAAAGGCCAAGGAGAACCAGAAGTTCCTGGTGCGAGTCAGCTATATGGAGATCTATAACGAGGAGGTGCGCGATCTACTGGGCAAGGATGTGGGCAAGAGTCTGGAGGTCAAGGAGCGACCAGACATCGGCGTCTTTGTTAAGGATCTCAGTGGCTATGTGGTGCACAACGCCGATGATCTGGAGAACATAA